CGTGAAAATTCATTGAAAAAATAGCCTTTTTAGTTTATGACATTTTAAGTATAGGTTGTCATTTGAAAATCAAAAGTTGATAATGGATTACCTGATAAATACAAGGGTGAAAATATTTAAAAAAAATATATAGTTCTAGAACAAGATGGATGTAAAATTTTGAAAAAAAAAAATTGAAAAAAGTCAATAGTTTTTGAAATAATGAGCGTTGTTTGATAAAAGAATCACCCTGTATAAGTAATCAAACTTGACGTTTCCGTTAAGTTGTTTGTGTAAAAATGTTTGTCAAACCAAAAGATGTGTTTGTTTTAAGGGTAGTCTAAAATTTAATGTTCACAAAATGTAAAAAACGTGTTTCCATTTCACGAAATGGTCATCTTTTCGTGAAAAGATCGATTTCAAGAAGTGGTTACGACATATATATTATTTTAATACATAAAATGATAGCGTTTATTTGTATATTCTGGATAAATTCCCAAACTACATATTCAATCGTCGTGCAGTTTTTTTTAAATTAAAGAAGACATTATAAAGAAGGTTTTAAATATAAATTTAGTGCGATAAAGTTAATAAATAATTAGTTATTATTAATTAAAATAAACGTATACATTGTATACCTTTATAGTTTATATATTAATATACTCATTGTTCGACACGGCGGTCCGCGGGTTTTCAGCTACCAGTAACCTGACCTTTTTTCTTTTGTGTGTGTTTTTTCGGTGAGTAGATAATAAGAATAATTGTTCCGAGAAGTAAAATACTTTCCGTTACATGTTATTTCAACAATTGTATTATAATAGGTTTATACGAGTATATTATTAGGTACTAATATTTTTATATTATATTATTATACTAGCGAGTCTGTTTAATTCAAAAACCATTCGAAGAGACGAGTTCTTTGGTATATAATTTTCACTTATACTAAAATGTTGGTATGGAATTAGTTATTTAATAACTTATATAAGTTTTCAAGAAAATATGTTCTAAAAATAGAAAATTATAAAAAAATTAAATATATTATTATATTATTATAATAATAATAATTGTACGTGATTTGGTCCATGAGTCGGTAAAGTTCAATAATATGGTGTTTAGTATGTTATTCAGAAAAAAAATCCACAGAAAAAAAACCACCGGAAAAAAAATCTCCAAAGTTTGCTTTGTCGAGTTTGCAAAGTTTACTTATTTAATATAATTGTACATCCTAAACGCAGACAACAAATGTCGGTGTAGCGTCCTCTCAATAGTGACCAATTAGTCTGAGTCCAGAACGCATAATAGCCTTTAATCGCATTATCGACAGATAAAGACGTTATCTACGAATCGAAATCATTAAAGTAGTACGATTGACAAATAATAAAATGACAAATGATCGAAACAAAATTTATTAAGTCTAAACCTGAGATGGTTAGTATACTTCTATAGTTCCTGTACATAGTTCAGTATAGATCGAGTACCTTGTCTCTGAGTAATTTTTATATCTGTGACTGTGTAATTATGGATATACTTAAATCCACTTAAGGAAATGACAAAGTTTGTTTTAAAGATTTTACTTACGTACATCAAAAAGATTGTACATTTTTTATCAGATGGAGATGTTTAAAATATAGTTCGTTTAAGTGTCCAGCTATTTTAAAAACATCACATAACATTAAAAATCCACGGGAAGTCCACGACCATAATCAATCTGCAGATCGAAATGGTAAGATTTATTTAATTATTATTTATTATCATTTATACGTCCCTAATTTTTCGTTTTTTAACATAAATATGTATACACTTTTTCTCGTATCGATGATATCATTATTTATAATCATAAAATGAATTAATTAATTTAAAACATTTTGTTATTTAATTACTGTACTATTTTTACTAGATGGCAGTATGGCACTTACTGTTTATATATTATAATATATTCATATCATTTAATAATAATATGTACTTATTTATCAATATTAAAAATAATTATTATTTATGTATTATATGTATACATATAACCTAATATACAGCCACAAAAATTCAAATAAAAATCAAAAATAAAGCTTTAGCATCAAACGATACTCCTGGCTAAATATTTTCCGAGACAATCGAAAATGTGGTAGTAGATATTTTAGCTGAATTGCCTAAGGAAAGTCATATTAAACGTACCTAGTTATGTTTTCAACAGATGATCATTTAAGACTACTTACAGCATTAGACACCTGGTATTTAAACGGAAATTTCGGATTGTCTCGGATTTTTCTTACAGTTATACGTAATACTGATAAAAAAAAATGTATTTTTAACTTCAATTTATTGTATTTTACAAAGAAAAACTAAACAAACATATTATGTGGAAATGTTCCAAATTACAATGGAGGAATGTGCTAAACTATATTTATATCCCGACTCCAAATACTTACATCTTGACTTTGAAAGTGCAGTTATTGAAGCAAAAGAAGTAATTGGTATTCATATAAATGTAAGAGGCTGCTTCTATCATTTGTGTCAATCAACCTTCCGGAAAGTATAAGAACTGGGACTTGCCACAATGTACAAAAGGGATGAAGAATTTTGGAAACATTGTGGAATGGTTGATGCGCTTGCATTCCTTCCTTTGCACCTCGTAGAAAAAGGTATGATGTATTTAAAAACAATTTACCCGAAAATCTCACGGATCTATTAGATTATTTTGATGCATACTACGTTAGTGAAAAATATCGAAGAATTGGAAATGAAGAAACTAATATTAAGTTTCGAAAACTACCACAAATGTACCCACCAGCTGTATGGAATGTAAAAGAATCTACCCTCAATTACTGTAACAGAACCAACAGCATTGTTGAAGGATGGAACAATAGGTTCTCAAAACTAGTTGGTCAAAAACATCCCACAATATGGAAACTAATAAGAAAAATTAAAAACGAAATCAACGCTGATCGAGCTAAGTTAGCAATAGATGCTTTAGGAGAACCCGAAGAGAGCAGAACAAAAAGAGGCCACAATAAAACTGTAAACATCCGTCTAAAAGAATTAGTCAAAAGACAAAATCAAAAAAACATAACTATTGGGGAATTTTTAACAGCTGTGAGTAACATACGCAAGAGAACTGTTTAACTTTTTATTATATAGGTATATAGTTATTATTTTTTATTTTATGCGCAATGTGATATTTTATAATTTTACTATTGTTCATTATTATCATAATAAAATTATTTTTAATTTTTGCGTAATCTAGTTGTGTGATTAAGATAATATTATAATAGTTATCATTAAAATTTTATATTTTTTTAAAATTATTTTATATTATTATTAATTATTATTTTAGAACAGTTAGGTATATCTTTGGGATTTTTTTTCCTAGATTCGTTTAGTATATCTATTCTTCACCTGGAGTACTCTTATTTTGTACAGTGTACGTAGTCATGCTAAAGACAAAATCTTCTTTATCAAGAAAAACTTCAGATGCTAGAAGAGTTCAAAATGCGAGGCTGTGAGACTGCGAGAGACTGGCCAGACTGCTGAATAACGACGGAATCGATTATCAAAAACGGATTTGCGTAATTCAACCATTCATTGGGGATTCTGTTCAAACTCAACTTCGATTATTGATGGGAGCTGGAGAACCCGTGAGTCATCGGTCCAACGATCAACACGTCTTGAACAACAGCGTGAACGATCCAGAAGTGTCAGGCTACACAATTAAAGCTTCCTTGGAAACAAATGTGCTTTTAATTAGATTGCCAATTAGATTACTTAAATTTCAAAGATATTCAGATAGGTAACATGGGGGAATTATGGAATCATGGCCCAAATGTCAAAAATGGAAAGACGAACCAATTGGTTTATGCTGTGCATAAGAGGAAAGTAGATCTGCTACCTTTTCATGGACAGCCTGACTTAATGCAAAGTCTACTGAATAATACACACCCGATTTCTCCAAATTTCTTGAAAAAAACTAGACAACATTATACGTTTTTTCAGATGACGTCTTTTAGAGCGCAAGAGGTTAGGGAGTTTTCGATAATCGATTCTGTCGTTGTTCAGAAGTCTCTCGCAGCTTCGCCTTTTGAACTCTTCTAACATTTGAAGTTCTTCTTGATAATGAAGATTTTTCCTTTGTCATGACTACGTACCCTGTACGGCTGTATACAATAAGTACTCCAGGCGAAGAAATAATATACTAAACACCAAATTGAACTTTACCGACTCATGAACCAAATCACACACTATTATTATTATTATAATATAATAATATTATTTTTTTATTTTTTTATAATTTTCTTGAACGGAGCCGAAACGGATATGCTAGTACTATATAAGACGAAATTTATAACAAAAGACAATTTAATTAAAGTTAAATATTTATCCAACACATGTACAAGTAATTACAAGGTTAAATTTAAAAGTAAATATGAAATAAACATTTGAGTTTCAACAATTTTTAATTAATACACGAATAGATGATGTTATAATATGTATAGGTACCGGTATAGAACAAGCTGTCCTCGACATAAATCCATCACAAACTTTTGAACGTGATCGGCAGCGTAGGTATATAACGTTTTTTTCGTATACCTACACCAAACCAACCACTATAGCTTATACAAATTTAAATTTAGACACAAGCTCATAACCGGAGAATAATTAAAAGTACCTACGCGTAAGTTGACGTATAAATAAACTAGTATATAATATTATAATATAATAATAAACAATTTTAAAATTTTCCCCCTTCAAGTTATGCTTTTATTTATTTTGTAACATATTATAATATGTTGTAGACTATATTAATTGGTAAAGTAGACGCTTTAAAAAAAAACATAAAAGCCGTGTTCGGAAAAAATACCATAATATACATTCAATTGATACGACGCTAACCGTTTACGAACAAACAATAATAATAATCATCGTCACGTGGGAACAAAATGTCGCCGTCGGAAGTTTTATTAGGCCGGAAAAATGCAGCGAGAGTCTATAATCATTTATTAATTGTAAATTATATTATTATTGTGTCTAACCTGTGTCTGGAATAGAAGCATACTCGATGGACTTGGGTACGACGGACCAGTAGAATGGTATACTTCGTTTGAAGTATCTTCTTTTCCTGAAACATATGTTGAATACAAACGGTTAAATCATAGTCGATGAGTAACAACGTACAAATGCGTAAACAAGTATACAAGCTATATGTTATACATAATAATGCCCACACTTTCGCAGTATTATACAATATTATTCTAATAACTATATTATTAATAGATTATTATTGTTCAACAATATTATACAGGTACTAAGAAAAACAAACACCGAAATTCGGCAAATTATTTTGGAGTTAAAAGCAGTGCAGTTAAGATTTCGTTCTTGTATTAACCGATATTATTTTAAATACCTAGGATGATATGTTGTGTAATTTAAAAATATTTTTTAATTCTTGAATATGGTTTAATACAATAAAAATCAGTGTTTGGTACTATACCTAGTCATCAACCAGAGTATGTTAGTTCTAAATTAACGTTTTAAACATGTTTTAGAATGGTTCTATCTCCCATGGTTTAGTTGAATTGAAATGTTCGAAATGGACAAAATCATTATTCGGCGATAAAAAACAATCTTTTTTTGTTTAGGTATACGACAAAATTATTTCAAGGACAATTTTAATTTTATCAAAACATAAAAATTAATTGTGTTCGAAATACCAATATTATGACATTAAGAATCCAAGCGTACAGTATAGGTACATCAGGCACATCATATAATATTATGTATAATGTATATATAGGTATTAAATAATGGATAAAAAATGATTTGACGAAGTCGTATCTAAAATTAATGGTAAAGCAATCCGTAACATATTTTATTTACCATCAACATTTAAATAACATAAATATTATTTTTTTTACCTATAATAAAATTATGGAAATTATGATGGTAAATAAAATATAATTTCACGATTTGAATTTCACAGTAAACACTCTCATAAAAATAATGCTAATTTTCAATAACACCTATACCAATACCATCAGCAGATATAACTATATGGTACCTTGGTGTATTTAACTTACTCGTCCTTTGTCGATGCGACAGTCAGTAATATTTTGTTTCTTATTTATTTTTACTACACAATATAATCGTAGGTCATGTAACTAAACATTTAGTCTAAGTATTCATAACTAAAGCGACGATTGTGATGTCAGACTATTGGTTGAACAATGAAAAACTTACGTCATTGGCGTGTTTCATTAACCAGATAAACTATTATTTTTGGTAGAAATGAAAATCTATGCTGTTCGTTCGCGGGCGTATTGTCATCGTATTATAATAACAATATTATCATATGGTATCGCGATATCTCTCGACTTTTCCCGACTTATATATTTCTACAAAATGATTATATCGGTTCGAGCAAACTAGATACATTTATGAACGGAATTAGGGGGGGGGGGTTAATACATTGTTCATATTATACTTATTATAGACGCGTTTGTGTGTGCGAGGGCGATGTTTATATCTGTGTGGAGTACTGGAGTAGGTATATTATTACCGTCTTACCGAGTACGTTTGTAAGACATCTCGAGAGGAATGTTCTCACGAGACAACGTCCGCAGCAAAAATCGCGCTGAAATCGTCATCGGATTTTTGCGCGTTCGAACCGAAAAAAAAAATAACACGAAGAGAATGAGAAACGTTTATTCGAAGAACGCCCGCCGAGGTATAAAATATGGATAATAATATATGCTACGGGCAAATACGGAATGCGGATAATGTATACATTGTTTGGTTATGATGAATACAGTCTATATATCTTAAAGTAAAAAATGTTATTAATAAAACGTTTACTAATTCATAAATTATTAAGGTAATAATTTACACATCAATTTATACCTAACCTATCTACGGCTGAAGAGGCATAATACATATTATTCTGATCAAATGACGACAGAAGATAATTGTTTTTGATGCAATGCAAGCAACAATATTAGGTATTTAAGAAGTCTTAGATTAAGGTAAATCTTCGCGTTATAAATATCTGATGTATATAGGTACAGTTTTGTTAACGGTTTTTCAAAATTCAAAAATAAGAATGTTTACGGTAAGAAGAATTAATGCTTTTACAAAATAAAATAATACATAAGCGCAAAACCGGTGGAATACACTATAGTAATGTACACGTGACATGTCACCCTGACACAACATTTAGTGTCCTTTTAAATTTTAATTAAATAGCGAAATTGTTTAAATATATATTTATGATTAAATATTAAATAGGTAGTAATCTAATAAATAATTATTATTTCCGATTGGTATGATGGTATGGTTTTTTCTAACTACTAGAACAGACAGTATAGAACACAATATTTTGTATGATTGAATCATTTGCGTAGGCCGTGCCGGCGCATTATCAGTTAACGTTTTTGATAGCAATACGAATTCTTTATCCACAGAACACCTGCTTATTTGTATAAATTGAGTAATTGAATGCATTATACATAATATTCAAGTCGGATAAATTGATGATAAACTGTGTACATGGATAAGGTATACATTATCCGGTTAATATGTACAGGTAGGTACATTACCCCGTTAATATATGTAGGTAAACGCATTATCCGTTTTTAAACCTTAAAAATGTCGATATAAAAATAAAAGGTATATGTTATTATTTCAAGTCCAATATAGTAACGCGTGTGACAGTATTAAACCAATAAATTATCATTTTACGCCGAAATCTCATTTTTAGCGCGTCAGAAATCCGCGTGCCATAACGATATCATAATATAATAATGTACAGTTGAAATACTCACTAACCTTTTCTGTAAGACGACAGCATGTCGGACGGTTGAATTCCGTCCAAGACGATGGTTTTCGGTGTTATATGATAATAATATTAACAATAATGACAATGGTAATAATGTTGTCACGTACACGAGACAGCGGACTAGCAGCTATAAAATAATAATCGGTCGCCGGCGGTCATCGGGTCCACGTTCAAATCGCGGTGGACGAGAGAAGAGAAAACGTAAACGGGAGACTTATCGTGTAAAAATAATAATAATAATAATGATGATGATGATGATGATACGTCACGAGACTTGTCGTGTAATACTAATGATAATAATATTATTACGTCCAAACGCCACCACCGACGAGCGAGTGCTCGAGAGATTTTTCGGGAAGGAGCAGCTGCTGAACGCGGGCACACGTCTGCGGGAGTGAGAAGACGATGTGTGGGAATTTTAATATTTCATTAATGATATTATTATTATTGTCAAATCGTATATGCGAACGCGTCGACGCGTCCACTGCGACGGTTCGAGTGCGACAAAATGATATTGTTATTATTATTTTAAATATCGCGTACCGACGGCGACGATGGCGTTCGGCGTGCGCCCGTTTTTCGTGTGCACACGTCGTGTCGGACCCCGAGACCCTTTGACAGGGCGGGGCAGGCGGGCGACCCTTATTACGGTCCGAAATCGCGGCGAGGGCGGGACCGGCGGGCGTCTCCCCGAGGATACATAAAAACGATACGCAAACGCACACACACTCGCGCGCGTATAAGGTGCGCTGGCATTGTTGTTATTGTTGTTGTCATAATAATAATAATGTTATTAAACTGTTGTGCGCTATATTATAATATTGTTTTGACATGCGCGCGCTACTCGGGTTTCAGACCGCGCTCGTATTGTATAAGCCTACAATAATATTATTATTTAATTCGAGTGTATAATATATTATAATATATCATTATTATAATAAAGTCCATAGTAATAACGTAGTAAAATATTGCCGTCACTGTACGAACGGCCCCGAACAGAACGATGTTTTAATGGCGAAGAATACGGACCTATATAGGTATACAGTCGACGACGGGCCAGCGCCCGCAATGAATTGACACTTTTTGTTTGTTAGTTTGTCATAAACTCGCATTGTTTGTTAGATCATCCAACAGCTCGAAATTCAGTGGAGGCGTGAAAGTAGTTTATCAGGCACGGGACTGAAGACTTCAAAATAGCGTGTAGGGTAATAGATAAGTTTATTATATTATGTCAATTCAATTTATCGAAATAAACAGAAACAGTGCATGAGTTTATGTATAACCAAGATTAATATTTAATTTTTATTGCCAGTTGATCATTTTTAAAGTTAACATTTAAGAAAGTTTAAGAAAATGTAAATGTAACCCACAATTTAGTTGTAGTCAATATTTAAGAGTGCAGTAATCGTTTAATATTAATATTGTTTTATACGTTATTCAATTTTCAAACTACGTTCATGCCTTGATTGATAGTGAGGATGCAAATTGCAAAGTATACATAATTATATTTTACGCATGATATAATATAGAATAATGGTGTGTATTAATTTTACAGACAAAATTAGCGTAATTTGGTTTTTATAATATAAATAATGTGTTTAAATTATTATAAATTAATGGAATATAAACTTTTTCGAAGATTCCTAATACTATGTAGATACATTTTTTGTAAGGTAGTTTTTATTAAAATGTTATAGATTTATAAAAATTATTTTTTTCATGTTTATTTGATCGATTTCATAAAAAAAATATGATCAATATGTTTAGGTACTTACCTATAAAATTTAATGAATTAGTTTATAACAATATGGCGATTTTTAATGCATAAATATTTTTGTCTTCGAAACAATTAGGTATACATAATATATATTTTACTTTATAAATAAATTATAAGCTATCAACTTTCCGTAGTCCATAGTTAGTGATGTGACTTTCTAAAATTATGTCAGAAACATAATATTTTCGCCTTTGAGTTTGTATAAAAAGGGCTTTAAAACAAACCACCATTCAAATTATGTGCCCGAACTTATCCAAAACTTTGTCAAACGATAAAACTTCCTTACAAAATTCACCTTTTAAGAAAATTGAAAAGCATTAAAGCCGTTCTTCTTACGTATTATTATGATTTATACATTTTGTACCAATAATCACATTTAACAAATATAACGCATGCTGTGCATACCTACTTATCACTTGGCTACTTTAATGAGTTACATGTGAGAAAAAAGTACGCAAGACTATAAAATAGAATTAATATAAAAGAGCGTGCCATGTATGGCCAATTATAA